TTCTGAGGCATTGTCTCTTGTTTTCTTTATTGCACATATTTGAGGTATATAGCATGATGTTTTGATATTATGCTTTTGATTACATTTCCCTAATAACTAGAGCTGGTGAGCCTCTTTTCAGAGGCTTATTGGCCATTTGTACATATTTGAAGAAATGTCTGTTCAAGTCTTTTGCTCGTGTTTATTTTGTATTTAATCTTTATTTAAGTTATTTTTTAAGGGCTACTCCATTGAAGCAGCAGGAGTTCACTCATTTTTAAATTGGGTTGTTTGTTTTTTGTTTTGGGGTGTCTACTATTTTTTAAAAAATAAAACAGGTTTGTTTTGTATGTTTACTTAATGTTTTTTATTTTATTTGAGACAGAGCCTTACTTTGTTGCCCAGGCTAGAGTGAGTGCCGTGGCGTCAGCCTAGCTCACAGCAACCTCAAACCTGGCCTCAAGCGATCCTCCTGTCTCAGCCTCCCGAGTAGCTGGGACTACAGGCATGCGCCACCATGCCGGCTAATTTTTCTATATTATTAGTTGGCCAATTAATTTCTTTTATTTATAGTAGAGACGGGTTTTCTTGCTCTGCTCAGGCTGGTTTCGAACTCCTGACCTGAGTATCCCGCCGTCCTCGGCCTCCCAGAGTGCTAGGATTACAGGCGTGAGCCACCGCGCCCGGCCTTAAAGTTTTGGTTTGAAACTCTTCCATATCTTCTGGATACGTGCCCTTTGTCAGATATTTTGAATATTGTCTTTTCGTCTGTAACTTTTCTATTCACTTTCTTTACAGTGTCTTTTACAGAACAACTAGCCTCTGTCCCCCAAACAGGCGTTACTCAGAGGGGTTACAAAGAGGTGACCCCCTGGCATCTCTAGACGTGGAGGCTGAGTAGTGGCCACCCAAAGAAACCCAGGTCTCAGTTCCTGGAAGTTGTAAGTGCTACCTTATAAGTAAAAGGGTCTTTGCAGATGTGATTAACTTAGGGATTCTGACCAGTGGAGATCATCCTGGATTATCCAGTTGATCTTTAAATCTAATCCCATGTGTCCTGTGAAGAGAGAAGCAAATGGAGATTTGATTCCAGAAAAGGGGGTGAGACCATGTGACCAGGGAAGGAGAGACTGGAGTGCCACAGCCAGAAGGCAAGGAATGCACCAGCTTTAACAATCTGGAAGGAAAAACAGTAAGATTCATGGCTTGGCTCTCTAGAGGAATGCAGCCCAAGCAACACCTTGATTTCAGCACAGAGTAACTGATTTCAGGTTTCTAGCCTCCAGAACTGTGAGACAATAAATTTACTTTTTTGTTGTTGTTGTCATTTTAAGACATCAGCTTGTGGTAATTTGTCACGGTGTATATGGGAGAGTAATACAGGGAGGAATTCATTGAGCACCTCTGAGAGATTGCAGGGAAGGAATGGAGAAAAGCCCTCCTCCTCCACGCCCATTCTCTGTTCCTCTTGGCAGCAAAACTCCCCAAGGGCCCGTTTGTACTCACTTGTCTCACCTCCGTTTCTCTGATTCTTTTTCAAACTTGTTCCAATCAAGTGCCACCATTTCCCAAACTTCTATGAAAACTGCTTTGTCAATTATCTCACACCATATACAACATCAACTCAGAATAGATTAAAAAATAAAACACAAGGCCTGAAATTATAAAACTCCTAGAAGAAAATAGAGGGAATGAAGTTTCTTTATCTTATCTGGGCAAAGAGTTTTGGGGACATGATTCCAAAAGAACAGGCAACAAAAGCAAAATTAGAGAAATGGATTTCTATCAACTAAAAAGGTTCTGCACAGCAAAGAAAGTGAATATCTACAGAAGGGAAGAAAATATCTGCACCTATACATCCGGTAAGGGGTTAATATCCAGCATATATAAGGGACTCAAACAACTCAGTAGCAGGAAACAAATAACCTGATTTACAAAAGAAGAAAAGAATTTCAGTAGACAGTTCTCCAAAGAACACATACAAATACAAACTCTGACAGGCATGGAAAACTGCTCAACATCACTGACCATCAGGAAAATGCAAATCAAAACCACAAGGACGCGTCTCCTGACACCTGTTAGAATGACTATTACCAGGAAGGCAGGAGATGGCACGTGTTGCCAAGACAGCGCCAATAACACATGTGTATCACCTTCTCCGTCCGTAATAACCCCCTTTCACCTCCCTCATCTGCTGTCATCCCGTCACGCCAGCTGTACACTGTCACTTCTCCAGCCTGGATCCGCCTCCTGAGCTCCCTCCAGCCCCAGGCGCTGTCAGGTGGATTCTCAGAATTAACGTCCTCTCCAACTCCCTGCTCCTCTATGGACACAGCTCCTTCCTCGAAGGTGCTCAGGAGAAGATTCTGGCATCATCTTTGCTCCTCCTGTGCCCTCGCCGACCACCCATTGGAAAGCCCTGTCAGCTTGACCTTCAGCACATACCCAATCACGTCCCTAGCCCAGCCCGCCTCCCTGGTGCAGCCAGCAGCCCTCCCCTTGGAGGGACCAGTGACGCCTTCCCAGGCTCCCTGACCATGGCGGCCGGGGGTTCTGTCACAGTGCAAGTGCATTGTGTCTGTGCTGTCCCCAAAGGCTCTGCATCTCTGCTCCCTCCTCCTGCCCCCTCTGCTCACACACGGGCCCTGGAGAGTCCCCAGCTCCCGGCCTGCCGCTGCCTCTGGGCACTGCACTCGCTCTTCCTCTTGTTCCCTCTCCTGGGGCACTTTTCCTTACTCAGACCCAGAGCCTGCTTCCTCACCGAAGTCGCGTCTGAGCCCAACATCACCTCCTCCTGCTGTCAGTCACAGACATGTCCCCAAAATGTCACAAGCTCCTTTTCTGGCATGATTTTCCTTCAAATGCATATCATAAGCCCTCATGCTCTCATTTTGTTAATTTATTTTTTCCTTCTTTCTCCTGAATGCCAATGTCTTGTTTACTTTTTTTGTTGTGGTAAAATGTAGGTAACACACAATTGGCCACTTTTAAGTTTCGTAGGGTACAATTCAGTGGCATCAAGCACATTCTCAGTGTTGTGCAACCACAGCCGCTATCAATTTCTGGAGCTTTCTCATCATCCCAAACCGACACTCAGCACCAGTTGCACAATCGCTCCTGTCCCCAGCTGCTGGCAACCGCCGTTCTACTTCCTGTCTCGATTAAGTTGCCTATTCTGGGCAGGTCACATAAGCAGAATCACACAACATTTGGCCTTTTGTGTCCGGCCTACCATAGCATTCCACTTACCATATTGTTTCAGAGTCCATCCCTACCGTGGCAGGTGTCGGAATTCTGCTCCTCCCCGTGTAAGGCTCGAGACTGTCTCGTGGGCTGTGTGCACCACCGTGTGTTCCTCCCTTCATCCGCCAGGGGACACGGGCTGCGGCGCGCTTAACTGCTGCGAGTAACGCTGTGAACACCGGCTTAGCTGTGACCGCTGAAGTCCGCACTCTCAGGCCCTTGAAGAATATGTCTAGGAGTGCATAGCCGGTCACTTGGAAATGCTATGCGTGACTTTTGGAGGAAATACCAAGGAATTTTCCAAAGAATTACACCATTTTACAAGAAATGCAAAAGGATTCCAATTTCTCCACTTTTGCAAACATTTATTATATTCTTTTTTTAAATAACAGCTACCCTAATGGATGTGAAGTCGCATTTCATTTGTCGTTTTTCTTTTGTATTTTTCAAAAGACTATGACGTTGACATCCTTCCATGTGCTCATTGGCTTCTTGTGCCTCTTCTTTGGAAGCGCCTATGCAAGGCTTTGGATGACGGAGACTGCTGAGGTTACCTTCACCGCGCGACTCTCGCACTCTGACAGTCTCGGCACACAGTAGGCGTTCAATTATTCCTCCTGAACAAGTCTATGAATGACTGAAGGACTGAGTGTCCCTCTGCCACGCAAAAGCACACAAGGAACACACACTACCCTGAGTGACATTTAAGGCTGAGCCTGAAGGATGAGCAGGATGTACAGGCAGAAATGGGGAGGGAAGGGCGTTTCAGGAGGAGGAACTATGCATGTGAAGTGTCAGATCGCAGAGGACTTGGCCCAGGGGGTGTGGGGACACGTGGGGAGACGCAGGGAAGGGAGGGATCAGGAGGACAGTCCGGCAGGGGACAGACCCTGCGAGGACCCAGTCCCGGCCGTGGCGTTTGCACCTCGTTCTCCAGCAATGGGGGAGGCACGGCCGTCCACACTGTGCGGGGCTGGAGGAGGACATATCTGGAGGCCCAGTCTGGAGGCCTGTGCTGGGGAGAGACGGAGGCGGGGTGGGGTGGACTCAGGGAGCAGCGTGGAAGCGAGGCTGCAGGAATGACCAGGGTGGAGAAAAGGGCTCGGGATGAGCCGTGCTCAGGAGAAGGAGGGACGAGAGTGAGTGACCCATGGGGTGTGGGGAGGGGTGAAGGTGGGGAACCTCACCCTGGATCTGCACACAGAGACTCAGCCACCCAGTCATCAGCGGGACAGGGCCCAGCAGGACAAGGGGGCTTGGGGAGGAGATGGGTGGCTCAGCCTTGGCCATGCTGAGCAGAGCAACCCTGGAGGCCATCACAGGGTAGGTGTCCAGTGGGTTGTGGGAGGTGAGATGCCGCATCACTCACCTGAGGGATTAGCCCGTGACAGTGTCTGCATCCCCCGTGCCCCCTGCTGCCCGGTCCGCCTTCCCCCTGCGGGACCTCACTCTGAGGGAACAGACCAGGGCCTGTCATGGGGCAGGACGGGGGTGCAGAGGGCAGCAGCCTCACCTCCCTGGGCCCTGTCAGGGGCAGGAGGGGACTGAGGAGGAGACAGCAGGTCTAACCCAAGGCCCCCTCGATGACAGCAAGAACGTCCCCCCTGGACCCTTGTCCAGAGCTGGGGACAGACACCACTAGCCGCGTGGGATCTCACCCCCCGCTCAGCCCTGCTGGCCCAGGCCCTGTCCCCTTTCTGGTCCCTCCAGCACAGGGCGTGGGGATCAGGGTGGTGTCCCCAGCCCTCCCACCCCTGCCCTTGTCCCTGGGGCCACGCTCACCTGAGGAAGACGAGGCAGAGGCAGAGAAGCAGGATCTTCACAGCAGATCCCACGACGGCCACCAGAGTCACCTCTGCCACGGGCCCCGGTTTCCCTGTGGACAGTAGGGTGAGCGGCTTCCCCTCGAAACCACAGTCCGCATCCTTCCTCCCTTACTGGGACTCGGCTGTGGGCTCCCCAGGCCTCGCTGTGTCCCTGGGTGTGGGGCCACCTCAGCACAGGGCTGACCCGCCCTTGCCAGGACGGACCACACCAGGCGGAGAGCTCCGGCCCCGGGGACGCTCTGAGCTCACAGCTGAGTGTGACCCTGAGTGGGGCACAGCCCTCTGACCCCACTGAGCCCAGGGGCTTCTTGCTCGGTGACCCGGGGCTGCGGGTCAGGGCTGGGCTCTGGTGTGCAGCCCCTGACACTCACGCTGCAGGGAGAGGCTCAGGGAGATGTGCTGGGAGCCCAGAGGGTTCTCAGCTCGGCAGGTGACTTCTCCGTCCCTGAGGTGCACTCGAGGCAGCTCCAGCTCCCCAGGGTTCGAGGGCTGAGAGGGGCACAGGGTCAGGCCCCCCCAGGTCCAGCTCAGCCTGGCAGGGGGGTTGCTGTTGACACCACAGAGCAGACGCAGGGACTGGCCCTCCAGCACTGGCAGAGATGAGCCGTTCTCCAGGGCTGTGGGTGCTGTAGCGAAAGAGACAGAGGGTCAGAGTGACAAAGATACTGAAAGAAAGAAGGATGCAATAAGCCAGATTGATAAATTTCTAAAAAAAAAAAAAGAAAAAAAAAGAAAAAAAAAAAGAAAGAAAGAAGGATGCAGAAAGAGATCTGGTAGAAGGACAGATTCAGACACAGAGACAGAGACTGAGAGAAGCAGACTCTGTGACATGCATCCGGACAGAGATGGAGCCCGAGCCTGAGCCTGGCTCTGGCCCCAGTTTCTCTGTGCCGGGCGATGTCGATTCTCCTCTGCGCCGGTGGGTCCTGTTGGGCTGGACTGTGGCCCCAGAAATCACAGAGGAAGGGTCTTGGGCTCACAGGACACCAGATATGACGTCAGCTCAGGCCCACGTTCCAGGCTCTCTTCACTGCTCTCGCTGACGGCTCAGAATCCAGGTTCACCCGAAGAGTCTTGATCTCTCTCCAGCCCTTCCCGTGACAGCGGTTCACTGAGTTATCGCTGTGCCTCTACGTGGGGCTCACTCCAGAAATTCAGAGTCTGGGGGAGCAGGGGCTTAGAAACAGCTGCCCCCGAGGTCACATGACACGTGGTGGAGGGGACGCAGGCTGCACCAGCCCTGGGCAATGTAAATGAGAAGAGCCAAATGCTGTGGGCCAGGAGGGCTTCCTGGGGGAGGCACACCTACTTGGCACCTGGAGGGGGGTGTGAAGGACCAGCAGGCGGCTAGAGGATGAGGGGTGGAAGGGAGTTCCAGGCAGCAGGAACAGACAGAGCAAAGATGACCAGGGCCTGAGCCAGTTCAGGGATGGGGTGGGGTAGGGTGGAGCAGGGGAGGAATCCAGGACACAGGAGGAAAGCAGGGAGATTTGTTTTCATAACCCCAGAGTGGGGAATCATAACCCACCAAAGGCATTGGTAGATGCAGCTACAAAATAAACAGGTCCCTGGACAGTGTAAAAACCATAGACCTCCAAGGACAAAGCCACCTGGCACATTGGGAAATGTATTTACAAAGCATCTCAGGCACAAATACTGACTTCTCAAACTGAAAAGAGCTTCTAAGAATAAATAATTAAGGTCAAGCCTCTCTGGAAAGCTGAGCAAAGACTGTGAACAGGCAGTTCCCAGAATAAAGGAAATACAAATGTCTCTTCGTGATGGAAAGGGATGCACGGCGTTATTCATAATAAGGGAAATGCTCGTTAAAGCTCCATGGAGATTCCACCTGTCACCTGCTATTGGCAGAGACCAAAAGGTCCCGGCACACTGGGTGGTGAGGCTGGGGGACACTCGCACAACCACTCCTCCCTGCTGGAAATCTAAACTCCTGTACTCCGGATGGGGAAGAGCCCGGGGTGTGTCTCCATATTAGACCCAGCTGTTTTGCATTCACACAGTCACCCCTCAGAGGCACAAAGCCATTTGTGAAAGGAGACACGAGATTATTCGTGGCAGCAATTTTGTTGATAGAATAAAATTAGTGCCTTGATGTTTCACTAAAATAAAGTGTGTCCAAAGCCAGAGTCCACCCATGCAGGGGGACACCACACAGCCCCAGAGGAGCACGGGGACAGTCTGCACAACTGACGTCAAACCACCTCCGAGGTCCTGCAGGTGAACAGACCAAGGCTCGGAGCAGTCTGTGGAGACCCTGGTGGGTTCTGGGGAGGGGACGGGCCTCTGAGGACTCACCCTGCTGTGCACTTGGAATTGTCGCCCATGAGACTGTATCACCCACCCAGAGGTACATGAACTACTGGGGGCCAGTTCTGCTGTGAGTGTCGCCCTGCCTTGTTGTGGGCCGAGGGGTGTGCAGGTGTCTTAGGGGAGGGAGGGGCCCTGGGTCACCAGCAAGGGGGGCTCAGGTGACCAGGTGAGTCTGGTGAGAAGGACATACCTGCCCTGACGGAAGAGACCCAGCTCCTGCAGCCCAGGGAGGGCCCGTCCTACCTGAGCCGTCTCCTTGGAGGACAGTCACCGTCAGGTTCTGAGGAGAGTCTGGGGCAGAGAGACACGGCAGCCCCAAGTCACTGCTGAGGGCTGGGTGGACGCTGGTCTCTGTCCCCAGGAGCCACGTCAGGGGGGAGGGTGGCACCAGCATCCTCTTGTCCCTCCCCCCTGGACCCCACAGCCCAGCACCCCGTGTGCAGCCCTGACCCCATCCCACTGCAATGGGGACCCCAGCAGGACCCCAGGCTTCCCAGCCCAGCTCTCACAGGACACATTGAGATGGACGGTCCTCGTCGTGGTCACACCGGCCCCAGGCAAGGTCACCTGGCAGGTGAGGCTGGTGCCGTGGTCCTGGGGCTGAGGGACGAGGGTGAGCACCGAGGAGTGGCCGATGGTGGGGCCCTGGGGAGCCACGGAAGCCCCCTCCCAGGAGATCCTGGGGGGCGTCCCCTGCTCACAGGCCCAGGGCACAGAGCAGGTCAGGGTGCTGGGGCGACCAGACTCCAGGGTCCCCGGGAGGAGGATGTCGGGCGTGTGGGTCAGGGCTGGGGAGGAGAGGGGGACACGCAGGGTCAGGAGGGAGGGTCCAAGGTGGGGCCCTGAGAGGACTCAGGCTCTGGTCCATCTCCTCCCTGAGCCCCACACGCTTCACCCCAGCCCCTCCCAGCACGGGGTCCCGGCCCAGCCCCGCCCTGCGACCCCCACCACCTCCACCTCTGGGCCTATCTTGGAAACCCAACCTTACCTGTCACTTGCACAGAAAGCTTGTCATTCGTGTAACTGAATTTCACATTTCCTCCTATCTCTACCCGGAAAAAGTATGACCCCTGGTCCCTCCTTGAGGCGTCTCTGATGCTCAGGGAGCAGTTGTTCCTCCTGGGATCCCCGAGGAGGAGGAATCGGCCCTGGGTCTCCTCCTGCACGTTCCTAGCTGGGTCGTTTGTGGCCACTGGAGTGCCACGGTGTGGATCAGCCCCTTCCGGGAACCAGTAGCCGTGAACAGGGTCAGAGTCAGTCCGGCTGTCCCCGCGGTAGGAGAAGGAGCAGGGCACACGGACACACAGGCCCTCCTGCACCGTCACCACACTCTGCACTTGCAGACTGTAACCTCTCCTGTCCCCTCCCTGTCCCTCCACCCCCACCGTCCCCCAGAGCAGGGCCAGCAGCAGCAGCATGGCGGGCGCAGGTGCCAGGGCCGCCGGGGACAGTCGCTCTTTGGGGTTCTTCTCTCGGGAACTGAGAGCTGCAGCACTTAGAGGAGGCCCCACAGGAAGCCGGGGGCGAGGTCAGAGCCGTGGCCCTCCTCAGAGAGGAACTTCACAGCCTGACACCGTCAGGGCCAGGGCAGGCCTCGCAGTCGGCTGTCGTCACCCACGTCCACTCCTGGGGACCCTGTGGGCAGACGGGGAGAGTCGCGCAGGTTCCCACCCACGCAGACCCCGACCACATCTCTGCCTCCCTGTCAACGCCCTTCCCTTGAGGGACGTTTTCTGGAAGGTGACAGTGGGTCCCGTCTGTCCGGGCCCTGATCTCCGGCTTTAGGGGCTGTGGAGCAGGGGTGCGTCGGACTGGTGATGCGGGAGCCAGGCGGGGGCAGCCAGCCTCCCCCACTCGCGCTTCAAAGCGCCACGTGTCGTCCCTCTGCACTCGAGGCCAGCCCAAGTAACCGTCCTCCTGTCCTCATGAGCCACGCCGGCAGGAACAGCACGCTCCCATCTCAGGTTCCCAGTGTAGGGGCATAGCTCCGCGGATCTTGGTTGGTCGTGTGGTGTTTAAGACTCCGCAGCTAGACGTGCATATTAGGACTTTTATCTTATTCTGATGGTTAAAGCTTTGATCTTTATGAAGTCCCCTTTCTTCACCTGTGCTATAGCACTTTGCGTTGAGACTCATCATCTGATATTAGGGAAGTGCCACCAACTGGCTTTTGTTGACTGCTTGCATGATGCCATCATTTGTCATCTTAAATGTTAACCTTTCTGAGTCCTCAAGTGATATTTCTGTTTCCTGTAGTAGCGGGAGGGAGGCCGCCTTCCCTGCGCTCACTGTGTCACTGGTTCCTCCAGACACACAGGGTCGGGTCCTCTCTGGGGAAGAGAGAAGCAGGCGAGTGTGGCAGACCCAGTGCTGCCCTCACCATCCCGCAGGGCGCTGGACAGGTCACCGGAGGACCCTGTGCTGGGGCTGCGCAGGCAGAGGCTGGGGCTGCTCCCCCCAGGGTTGAGTTCGAGTCCTGGCGACGCCGGGGCGAGGGCCGTGGCCAGGACTCGGGGTGGGAGGGGAGGTGGGATGGTGCAGACCACACAGCACAGCGCCCGGAGCAGGGTGAGGACCCAGCAGAGGTGCTGGCACGTTCTGAGCACTGGGGCTGTGGGAGGTGACAGAGGGACCAGTGTCCCTTTGGTCACTGCTGTCCCAGCCTCTGACACTGATCTCTAGACAGCTGCCCCCGTGCCTGGCCCTCCTTCCCCTCCCTGTCCCAGAACCTGCCACTCTGCCCTGGCTCAGGGCTTTTCTCTCGCAGACCCCGCTGCTGGGAGTCTGTGCTCGGGGACGTGGAACACAGACTTTCAGTGGGGAGTGACCCACCCCTGGGAGCCATCGGGCTCTGTTGGGAAACAGCTCTTGCCCCTGGACGTGGAGAACATGTCCCTGCTGGGTTGTTGGGGCTATGGAGGAACTGGTGGATCCTGGGAGACAGGACAGGGAATTCAGGGAGTCTCCTTAAATGGATTTAGTGGTAGTTTGCACAATTGTTTAGAATATTCTAGCTCTTTGGTTTTCCATATAAATTTTAGTATCAGCTTGTCAATTTGCACAGATGCTCTCAGGAAGAAATTGTTTGAGGTTGCATTGATTTCACAGATCAGTTTCGGGATAACTGTGACTTTCACAATATTGAATCTTCCAATCCATGAACATGGTATATCCTTCCATTTTTAGGTGTTGTGGATCTCTTTATATATTCACATTTACATTGTCCACGGGCATTTGGCCTGGCTTTGCCAACAATATGTGTTAGATGTCCATGAAAAACATGGTTTGTCAAACCTATTTGAAGGAAAATACCCTTCTAGAAAAAGATGGCAGACATTACGCTTTTGTTATTAATTAATGAAAAAGTAGTGGATCTATTTCTCAGTCTGTGTTTCTACCTATTTAACCATCTGTTCATCCCAGTAAGCAGCAGTTTGGTGCTATGGTTTTGGGCCATGGGGTGCCTGGAACACCCTGGTGTCCGGGAAGGTGAGGGCACTGGGAGCAGGAGAAGCTTGGTAGCACCCCACTCCTGGCCCCGTGGCTTGATGGTGCAAGGCATGTTTTCAATACGGTTGGACTTCAGATTCTCTGGTACATGGATCTCAGTGCCTGGGTCAAATCAAGGGAAGAGATGGCACCTCTGCTTATGCCCCTGGGAGTCCTCAAGTGGCTTCTCCCCTCACCCCAGAGTCCTATCTGCCTCCCCACCCCTCACCTTGACTGTGGAACAGGTGTTTCCCCTTGAGGCCTTTACCCTCCCAGGACATTCAGAGAAATGTCTTATTTTTGGAACATGGAATAGCTTCTCTCCATTCCAAAGCAATACGTCCCTCCCCCTGTGTCTTGTAACCGGGCGTCTCTGTTGTTCAGGGACAAGTTCCAGGCCCCAGGTCCACCAAGCAGGCAGCATTGAGCTTGCAGCTCCTGTACTTTCTGTCCTGAGTTATTTGTGGGCGCAGGAGCACCCCATCCATGAACACCCCTCTGGAAACGAGTCCTACGAGCCGGGTGCTCAGTCCAGGAAACCCAAACGTAAAAGCCGAGGCGAGTCAGCAGGATTCCAGTGTTTCTGCCTTGGTGCAAAGCCTGAGTTCTAGTTCACACTCTGGATCCTGAGCAAAAGCTCCTGGGGACGTGCAGCGCCAGGCTCCAGTGTCCGGCCCTTTATCCCCTCTGGTGAGTGGTGCACTTGCCCTGCCGCCCAGCCAGGCAGCAGCAGCAAAAGCATCTCTTGCGTTTTAAGTGCTGAGCTCTGCGCTGTTCAGTTCCCAGGGGCCCCGAGGCTGAGAAGAGTGGGCGGGAAAAACGGGGTGGGGGAGAGGTCAGCAGAAAGCCGGTGAGAGTGCACAGAAGGGGCAGTTCACAGGAGTACAGGTGTGTGAGGCAGGTGGGGAGTGTCAGGTTCACGGGCATTAGCCATTCCCACTTCCCCAATCTGCACAGCGACCCACTGAGACCCAGAGAGGAAGAATGAGTTACAAGAGTCCCTGCAGGATGTCGGTTACCCTGCCGTCACGTGTCTTTCTGTGTTTGCAAGACTTTATGTAACGTTAAAATTGCTTCCACCCTGCATGTGTCACAGAATTTTCCCATGAGTTTTCTTGCTGGGAGATAATTTTGATTTCTGAATCATTTCCTTTCATGCTATAGGGCCAATAGGGTTTTGTATTTGTCTGTGAGTCAGTTTTGATACACGACATTTTCTAGAAGTTTCATATTTCACTTAGATTAGAAATTTTATTAGAATATATTTGTGACCTAGTCTTACTGTAATTTTAAGATAAAATTTATTGAAACAAACCTAGAATAAGAAATGTGCACAGGCCGGGTGCGGTGGCTCACGCCTGTAATCCTAGCACTCTGAGAGGCCGAGGCAGATGGATCGCTTGGGGTCAGGAGTTCGAAACCAGCCTGAGCAAGAGTGAGACCTCGTCTCTACTAAAAATAGGAAGAAATTAATTGGCCAATTAAAATATATATAGAAAAAATTAGCCGGGCATGGGTGGCGCATGCCTATAGTCCCAGCTACTTGGAAGCTGAGACAGAAGGATCGCTTGAGCCCAGGAGTTTGAGGTTGCTGTGAGCTAGGCTGACGCCACGGCACTCTAGCCCAGGCAACAGAGTGAGACTCTGTATCAAAAAGAAAAAGAAAAAGAAAAAGAAATGTACACAAATGACAAATGTAAAGTTTCATTAATGTTTAAAAATCTGTATGACCACCACCCAACTCAAGAAATAAATGAAACTAAACAACAACAATAACAACAGAAAACCCAATTTAACAATTGGAAAAGGAGGCCAGGCATGGTGGCTCACGCCTGTAATCCTAGCACTTCGGGAGGTGGAGGCGGGAGAATTAATTAATCACCTGTAGTTGATTGTGATTTAAGTGCCTATGAAGCCAGTGCCTTGAAGGATCAGGTGGTGACTGCTATTCACTGCTAGGTGAGCAATAATGACCACAAAGTCTGGGGTGGACTGTCTGCTTCCGACTCTGCTGGAAGACGGACAAAGAATAAGTGACAAGCTCAAGTCTTATCTCTTAGGTCAAGTTACCATGGAAAAGTACAGAAGTTCGATGTGGCTCTAAATAATCTCATGCCATCTGGCTGCAATAACAATCTTGTGAAAAATCAGACCCCAAGTGTAATTGTATTTGTTAGAGAATTACCACGTAATTCGAATCCAAAGATTTGCCCAAGTCTCTTATATGAAATTTAGAGCAATGATTAGAAAGGATTAGGGACTGAGACCTGGAAAAGGGTCTTGGATAAAAATCAAAATCCCATGAACATATGGATGATCTATAGGTGTGGTTTTGAATAAAGTTGAAAATCTAGAATCACCTTCACTCCAAGACTTTTCTGAGCCTGTCTTGTCAGCAAAATGTAGCCTGATTTCTTCATCGTGGAGAGATCAGTCTTTCCCTGCTTGAAGACTCTGAAATAATTCTATTTGGGGACAATGTCTTACAGAAAGGCTCAGAGTCCCTTCCAGACCCAGCCCAATCACCCTTTCCCCCTCTAGACCAAGAATAAAATGCCAGCCTCTTCTAAGGGGACAAATACCATCTTTGACCCCTCTGAAGGTCTTACCCTCTAAAGGAAGCATACGAGTTACCGATTTAGATGAGCAGAAACCTGAAGAATATATGTAAAAATGAACTCCAAGAATCTTAGACCAAAAAAACTGAAATATTATGCTGGCTTGATCCAAATGTTTGATATGGGTGTGCTGACCAAAGATCACAGATATAATGGGTTAGCTGCCCAGTAGATCAAGGGGTTCGTTCACTCTACTCAATAATGACCCAAATTCAATAAGGTTGATGCCAGAACTTTCGTGGCATAATGGAGAGAAAATAATGCAAAGGTTTAGAGGGTTTAAAATGTTAAAGAGTTAAAAGCCATGAAAATACAACCTGCAGACTCAGGCCTCCTGCTATTACTCCTAAAATAATACTGGAGAGAGAGCACTAGTGTCTGT